ATGATCAGTATGTATGTTTTAATGTACTTAACAGTTTGTACCAAAGTGAAATGTTTCTTTAAAAAAAAGAGTCAAATTGACCTACTTCGTTGGGTCATATGGGCGACTTGACCTATGACCTGGGTATGTCCTGAACACTCCACTTCGACACCCAATATATGTCCACTTTACATCTTTCAAAAGGTCAAAATTGCGCTTTTTCCAGATTGCTTCAATTTGAGATGTTATCAAGACATCAGCTCTGTAAGATTTTAAATTGTGTATACATAAAACCAAGTATTTGATATCATTTTAAGCAAATGATTATTTTAGAAAATGGGTGGAAAATGTAAAGTATGAGTAAAATATATGATTGTGCTGAAGTAGAATTTTTTTTTGTTTTGAATACAACTGAAAGGATATGCATTTAACAATTGAAAATCCTGTTAACAGTTAAAAGTACTTGGTGTAATTGAGTGGAGAATTGTTGATGTGGGAGAAAGAAATGAATATAGTTGCAAATAAAGAATTGAGGAATGAGGGAAAATTAAGTAATGTGAAAATAACTGAGTAACATGGAAAGAAAATTGAGTGTTAGAAATACTCTATAATGGGGAAAAAAAAATTTTACTTGATGTTCTTCTCAAAGGTTCCATTTGGACAACCAGGATTGTCGTCACCATTCATGAATTCATGCGCCATCACGGTCTTCATCGCGAGGTCATCGTCAAAGATAAACTTGTTTGGGTTACAGTAACATTTTGGCGCAAATTTTACTGAGGAATGTTTGTAAGTCACCGTCAGGCCCTTATATTTAGGCTCATCATACTTTATCTCCATCTCCTTGTACAAATCTACAAGATAAAAGAGAGGGAGTACAGCCACTTTACTGTATATCAATGATAACATGTTTATTAGCTCCACTCAATTGTCTGTGAACAACATGTGTTCTCTGCACAGCATATATTTAGGCTAAATAGCATTTTAGAATTCAGACGACAATGGGAACCCAACGCCCTCATTGTCCTAATGATTTCATGTGACATCACTATGTTATTGATCTTAGTCTAGTAGTAGTATTTTTGAACGCTCCCTATTTTCCCAATGCATTTTTTCAATGTATCGTGAAGTACCATGAAGTTATAAGAGGAAATATAACAATCAACAAAGAAATTTGCACATAGATTTAACAGAAATATATCAAATGTATTCTTATATTTAATGTTGCTAAGTAAAGTTGTTTTAATGCTAGTAAAGTTTTAATGCAATATATCTGATATAATTGTATTTTAATTGTAATTATTTAAAAAAAAGTAAATAAAATTCTGTATTTTTAAATTATTTATTTATTAACATTATATATTATTTTTATTGTTGTTATTCTTTATTGTTACTCATTATTTTGTTAGGTGAAACTGTTAATAATTTTTTACCACACCATGCTGTAAAGTGCATAGAGTTATTTTACATTATGTGCTATATAAATTGACAATTATTATTATTATTAATTGTTTAAAATATTGTATGTGTCTGTGATCATTAGAATGGATATTGTTTTTTTTTATGAATAAAGATTATTATTATTTTTATTATTATTATTATTATTATTACTACTAGCAATTTTTATAAATTATTATTAGAAATTTCTTTCATAATATAAATTCAGATTGTTTTTTTTCAGCATTTCAATGTTGATTTTTAATACAAATAAATGAAATAAAATAAAATAGTAAATACTTCCACAGTGTATATCAACTACCAAGTAACACACATACAGTAGTTTGGAATTAAAAAGTTTTATCGTACCAGAACCATTCTTATTTAAACGTTCCTTTGCCAGCGGACTGTTGTACTCTGTCAAAATGTTAAAGACACTCATCGGTAGGGATGATTTATCTTGCGGTTCATTTGAACGGCGAAATGTCTGGAGAAAAAAAACGCATGGTCATTTTGAAACTGGTGTCCAGTATATGAAAATTTTCATCAACACATTAATAAATAATAAAGCAACCCATGGATCAATCTCACCACGGTATCAGATGACGACTAAAGCCATCTAATGGTTCGAAGAGGTTAATCAACTCAATCTAGTTAATCACTCGATTTAGAAAAAAATATGTATATGTACTTACTGAGTCTGTATCAGCCAAACTGAAGGCAAATGAGTATTCAGATTGGTTGAGTGATGTGTAGTAGTAAGTCGCAGGCATAATAAAAACCTTTACTCCATCTGAAAAATCACCCTAAATAAACAACAAAAATTTATATAAAAATTTCATCATCATCATCATCGTTTACAGTCTGTTAAGTGAAAGTTAGAGTGTGGAGTTGATCCCCACACATGAGGGTTAAACCGTGAAATTAACTGTATGAAGGTTATATTCTGCAGGACTAGGTGGTGTGGTCAACGAATAATATTAATTATTGTAATAATAATAACTATACAAACAATAATGTTAATAATGATTATGATGATAACATGTGATATACTATCTAAAAAACAATTCAATAAAATGTTTTATCCAGAGTCTGAAACTCTAATTAAGAATTGATTGGATTGGATTGGATTTATTCAGTGTAAACACCAAGGACAAATCATGAAAGTCTGAAGAAGGCTTATTTACATAATTGCTAATTACATAGAGTATGCCTGGTGGCGCACTCTGTTGTCAACAGGCATTGGTTACCGTTCATTACGCCTGAATGACTTCATAGGCTTTCTGTAATAGGCATTTGAAATCTAATATTTTACCATCAAAATGTACTAAAAACACTAAAGCTTGCATTATATTAGTTATCAAACACACATTTAATCATCAATTAAAATTTACAAAGAAAAAGTATGATACAACATCTTAATAATTACGTTAGAAATTGGGATCAATGGTTTGTCAGTGAGGAAAATAGCGTCCTGTTGAACGCTTTTTGCAACGATAGCAACGGAGTAGTATCAGGTGGTATCGTGACGTAGCACTGTAGTACTCTATATCCTTGCTGTTATATTCTTCAGTTTTATACATTATACTGTATATTCAATAAACTTCATTACCTTGAATAACATTATTTGGCAAAAGTATACAGAATTAAAGTAACATGTATTGCCTGGATAGGGAATAGGTGACAGCTTGAACAAGATATGCTCCCTATCCTTCAAATTATTAAATCGTTCCCTATCCTTCATATTATGTACCTTTGGTACTCATGTGATTAATTCATTACCTTAGGTACTCCCCTGACAGCATTCTTGATGTATGTAAACCCACTTTTGCCCGCCTTCATGTTATTTTCTACGATACTGAAATTCTCCGGTTTGCCATCACGTTGTTCTAACTTCGATATTGTGATAAATATCGGATCATCTGATAACTGAAATAATTAAAATCCTGTTATCAGTAATTTCCATATAAATCAACCACAGAAAACAACAGACATAATCAAGATTTGATCACCTGATATGAAAAACTTAATAACATGACCTTAAAGGCCTGGGAAAAAGTTTATGTGAGTTCGACCATAAAACTTGTCTTGGTGACATGCGTGATGTCTCCAGTACATTACATAGTCAAAAAAATGTATAAAAGTTGTTCCTCACTTTACTACTGGGTTTTAGAAGAGGATGAAAAATGGTTTCTCCCTCCTTATTGATGAGGAATGCATACACTGATCCCCACTTCTCACTAACGATCAAATTCTCGATCTCATCTAGGGTTGCATCGATGCCAACTACTCCTAACAACCTACAAGAAAAACCCAATTAATACTGATTAATTAGGTAGATAAATGTCTTATATTTCTTTATTTTTTGAGTATGTATTTTATATTCCATAATATTCACCATTGGTATATTTAAATTTTTGTTAACGTTTTCATCAATGGAAATGTTATAATACAATACTAATCACCACAATGTAGTCTACAAACTCACTTTTTACTAGATGTGCTAACAACAGGTATCGCATATGTCACCATTAAACCCAGCCCCCATGCATCCAGATAAGGGGCAGTCCAAAGGCCCTCTTGGGTGACAGAGTTGGTAACAAGGAAATCAAAGTAATCACTCATTTGGGAGATGAGGTTGGTACCATCTTCTAGCTTCTGCATGTGACCTCCGTTGTCACACGCTAATTTACCAGGAAACTCCTCTCCATCTGCCTTTGTTAAATAGCTAAAAATTCTAGTCTGAGAATTTAAAAAAAAAAGTCATTAATTATTTCATATCTAATAAAAAAATTACATAATTAACATAATTTATTAAATTATAACCAGAGCCTTGCAGGCGTCACCGTTCCTATGCATGATACAAGACTTTTAGAAGTATATATACA